GTTACCGGAAGCCAGTGAAGGGAGCGGAGGAGCGGAGTGGTGTGGGAACATTTAGGAAGGTTGAAGACCAAACGAGCCGCTGCATTCTGGATGAGCTGCAGAGGTCGGATGGCACATGCAGGTAGACCAGCCAGGAGGGAGTTGCAGTAGTCTAGGCGTGAGATGACGAGAGCCTGGACCAGAACCTGCGTCGCTTTCTGTGTCAGCTGGGGACGTATCTTCCTGATGTTGTAAAGCGTGTATCTGCAGCAACGGGTTGTGGCAGCGATGTTTGCAGTGAAGGACAGGTTGTTATCTAGGGTCACACCCAGATTCCTTGCAGTCTGAGTCGGGGAAACAACTGAGGTGCCGATGTTGATTGTTAGGTCAAGAGTGGGACAATCTTTTCCCGGAAGGAAGAGCAGCTCAGTCTTGTCAAGGTTGAGCTTGAGGTGATGAGCAGACATCCACTGAGAGATGTCAGCTAGACAAGCAGAGATGCGTGCGACGACCTGGGTCTCTGAGCGGGGAAAGGACAGAATTAATTGGGTGTCGTCAGCGTAGCAGTGGTATGAAAAACCATGCGGGCTAATGACTGATCCGAGCGAGTTTGTGTACAAGGAGAAGAGGAGGGGACCAAGAACATTACACAACAAGTGCTATTTACACTAAAGCTTTCCTTTGCCTGCAAAAGGTCTTACTTGTGTGTACACAGTAACGTCTGTGCATACAAATGCTTGTTGAATGAAGCTTTGTGTGTCGTTTTTTTTCTCCTTGAGAGTTGGTACTTTGGCGGGACAGGGTGCTGCGTTGGCACGAGCCTCTGGCACTCCAACATGCCCTGGCACTCCTGGACCGGCTCTCTTCCTGTTTTGGGCCGCAGTGCTGTTTGTTCAGCATATGTGGACTGAAACTGAGTTGCCCCTCACTTTTCTAAATGTGCAGCAGCCTAGGATTGGGCCATATGTTAAAATGTTCCTGTCTGAGTCCGCCAGAAACTGCTGATTGCCAATATATTCACAGAATAAATCAACTGAATCTTGATAGAAAAGGAACATACATTCACTTCAATTTATTTGCTTCAAATTGTAACTACTGAATGAATCAAGGACACAGCATGAATCTTCGTCATCTCTCGTAAAAATGTCACTACATAAGTTGAAACGACTTGGCATTCAAGAAGATCACGCTATGCCGCAATTGATTCATAATGAATTCCTTTGTTAAGTGCAGTCTGGTCTTAAAAAATATGAACTTCAAATAAATATTGAAGTTGATCTAATGTCATTTGACTAATCTAATCACATAAGGTCTAATGCAGTGGTTCTCAAACTTTTTTCAATAATGTACCCCCTTTGAAAAAAAATTCTGCCAAGTACCCCCTGATCAGCGCAAAAAACAATTGTTAGGGAAAAAATGCCTACATAAAGAGGTACAGTACAGCGCTGCACCATCAGTGTCTGATTTATTAAAACAACAACATTGTAACTGAGAAACACTTAAATGATACATTTCAAATGTTTACAATCCATCACTAAATTCATGGCAAACCAATTTTAACATCATGCAATAACACTAAGACGACATTAGTTGCATTGAACTGATCTTTTTAATAAGTTGTACTTACAATTTAGTGAGAAACATGGGCTTGTGCTTCACTGAGGATCTTTGATCTCTGCAGTTTGCCTCGCTGTCAGCGAGGCAAACTGCAGTTATTACACTTTGCGTTTTGAAATATGTGTAACTCTGTTAATATAAAACCCACACTGCTCAAACTTCGTTACTTTTCCTAAAATTAGTATATTTATTTATTTATTTTGGGGCGTGGGGAATGAAGAGAAAAACATATATGAGCTTTTTATGAGCATGGGATGTTGACTCCTCATAAAAACATTATGCATAATGCTGCGCTATACTTTGCGGCCACACGCCGTTGCCAAGCAACGCTTATTGTTTAGGTCCTTTGATAAGCAGGCAGTCATATCATTAACTAGAACTAGCTAGATCTGATAGATATTTTCTTGCCAGACACTTCCTTTACCTTAGTTGGAGCAATGGCATCTATAACATTTTTAATTTTTTAATTAAAATGATCTACTAGCTCATTTACTGAGATGTTAGCAGGGGCAAGTGTGGAAGAAAAATTCTGAGTAAACATTTCCCTAGTATTTTCAGTTAAATATCGCTTTGTGGTTACCTCTTTTTGAACATTTTTGTGAACAGAAATAGAGCTCTCAAAGAAAACACAGGAATGGTCAGAGAGTGCAACATCAGTCACCACAACCTTAGAGATATTCAGACCCTTTGAGATAATTAAGTCCAGAGTGTGCCCCTTATTGTGCTTGGGCTCAGTCACATGCTGAGTCAGTCCATAGCTATCAAGAACACAAAACAGTTCTTTAGCCCCTCTGTCCTGGGGGTTGTCAACATGGATGTTAAAATCACCAACAATGACTAGATGGTCAAAGTCAATACACACTATAGACAGCAGTTCAGTAAAGTCATCAAAAAAGCTTGCACAGTATTTGGGTGGTCTATAGATATTTAGGAACACAGCTCGAGAGGAGCATTTCAGCTGAAGGGCCACATATTCAAAAGAATCAAAGTTTCCATACGATGTCTTCCTGCATTGAAGGGAATCATTGAACAGAATAGCAACTCCACCCCCTTTCTTATGCATTCTTTCCTGACTCATAAAACTAAAGTTGGGAGGGGTTGATTCGATAAGAACAGCTGCACTGTTATTTTGTTCAATCCAAGTTTCTGTTAAAAACATAAAATCGAGATTGTGCTCAGTGATAAAATCATTGATTACAAATGTTTTTCCTGCCAAAGACCTGACATTTAATAAAGCTAGTTTAAGTTTGTTAAACACACTATCAGTCATGTTTTTTGTAACAAGCTGTGGCTGACATGGAATCACTGCTAAATTAGATAAACTCACACAAACGTTTGAGCGCTTCCTGTTTCTAAGATGATTCACCGCTCTTAATCTATTACCTATCAACACAGATATCGGCAAAGCTACTGGCAGGCAGGGCCCCGACATGTCCTGGAAAGAGTTGAGAGTGCCATACGCCCTTGAGCCTGGACCCAGCACATATCAGTAAGAATTTGAAGGGGAGGGAGGACCCACCACCCTGCTCCTCTCATCATAGGAGGGCAGGGTGAGGGCTACACTGTAGGAAGGGGGGTTTGGAAATCTGCTTCCATCTTTCTTGTATTGTTGTGGTTTTGATGATTGTGGTAGGCATGGTGATGAAGCCGGGGGAGATGGTGCGCATCTCTGCTTCGGTGATTTTGGTGGGCGTCGTTGAGGGGCGGGGGTAAAGGACATGCTGCCAACCCTGCGTGTCGCCGTCATGTGGTCATTGAACTCCAGGGGTGTGGGCGAGGGTGAGGGTGAGAGGGTGAGCGGAGAGTAGAGAGAGCTGGGGGATGAATGAAGAGTATCCTCAAAGGCGTTGACAGGGAGGTACTCCAACGTACCCCTAGGGGTCCGCGTACCCCCATTTGAGAACCACTGGTCTAATGTTTACTAATTGGGGTCGTTTTGTGCTTCTGAAAATCGAAAGAAATCTAACTATAACTTAAAATTGATATTGAAAAGTTGAAACAAAAATAAAATAGAAAAACGAATTGATAGGTTTGATTGAGAAACAGATGCATTGTACTTAGAATTTTAGCTCACGACTATCAGCAAACAATTCCTCTGAGTGCTGTCATTGTAATTCTAACCTCTGTCCCTCTCCTCAGACACACCTTCTGGCAGTATCGTAAGGAGAACCCTCGCACCAGAGTGGGCGACCCTCCCCCTGAGGGGCTCCCGGGCTTCAACAGCGGGGTAATGTTATTGGACCTTGGTGCTATGAGAGAGTCGGCTCTCTACAACCAACTGTTGAAGCCCAGCAATGTGGCCAAGCTAGCAGACCAGTATCGCTTCAGGGGCCACCTGGGGGACCAGGACTTCTTCACCATGATCGGTATGGAGCACCCTGAGCTGTTTTACCCCCTGGCCTGTGGGTGGAACCGGCAGCTGTGCACCTGGTGGAGGGACCACGGGTACGGAGACGTGTTTCAGATGTATTATCGCTGCGAAGGACTTGTCTATATCTACCATGGCAACTGTAACTCCCCTATACCAGATTACTGATGTAAACACTGGACTGATGTTGGAACTGAAAAGGTGTCAATGACATCGGCAATATCGTTCAAAGGAAATGTTTTCCTGCTTTGGAAGATAGGATCATGACTTTAATGACAGTTTCCTGTCTTGACCACTGAGCTGCTGCTATAGTCGCAGACTCTGCCCCCTGCTGGTCAAGGGGCCACTGGAGGGCCCACCCATACACAACTTCTACAGATGTTGTGTTTATCGGTGTCATTTTAGAATACATTTTGACACTCAGGCCGAACACAGCCCTGTGTTTCAGGAATGCAGGAGATGCAATAATAAGGGTGGGTTTCTTCAGGTACAGAGATGACGAAATATGATCTATGAAGTTCAGATCTATTAATTTACAGGCTAAAAAGTCAAAAATGCTGATCACGTTACAAAATAATAAACCAAGAAGACGTTGTAGTCTGTAATTGATTGGCTGAATGATGTGGCATTGGGGAGATGGGGTCTGTGCAGGGGCCCTCTGCATGGCATCGTGCTGCAGCCATGCATGAATGATCGTTTTTAAATACAGGGCTAATGTCAGTATGAATGAGGCCTAATGCGTCATACATTGTCAATGCCAAAAAGTATTTTGTCCTTTCAATTGATTGTATATTATTTGATTTCTATAATATTGTTAATTGTTTTGAGAAGAATATATAATAGTATAAGTGATTATTTGTTCTACTTACAAGGAATTAATATTGCTGACAAAGGTTGGAATGTTATCTGCAATAAATATAGGGTCAGCAAATGTGATAAATAGTATCAACAAGAAGAGTATTGTACCTTTTGATTCCCAGCACCTCAAGCTTTCCATATTGGCCCCTAAGTCCCCTGTGTCACCTTTTCTTCCGACAGCACCACACCAGGGGAAGGCTCATCTGGCACCTTTTACTCTCCTCTGTGGCTGGTAGAACAGGATGGGTTTATTTCCCAGCCGTCTGAATTCTACACAATTCTGTAAAACACAGGAAAAGAAATCCCATCAGAGTATAGGAGTGGCCATGGAGATAATGGTTAAGAATGATGGCTGATATAAATATTCAGAAGCCAAACACACACACGTTGGAAAACTGAGCCACACCAGAGTTTTCTTGCTGTGCTCACTGAACTGCTACTCGGATTCCCAGAAATGTTAATACTCGATATTCATCAGTCAGGAAATTGTCTGAGGTGATGCCATAGGGTGATGCACATTAACTCACACGTGCACACAGAGGGAATCAGCTTAGTGGCTGGCACCTTCAGTCGAGTCGGAGGAAGGCTACTGAAGACTCGTGAGAATGAACATTATCCCAAATCAATTAGCTTCCCTTGAATCCACCCTGAAGCTGGTCAATAGTTTTGTGTGGCTCTTTCAGAACAACACTCTTGTCTTCTTAGCTCTCAAAAAATAGAGTAAATACTGAAAAACAACTCTCAGTCCCTAATTGCACTTTACAACTTTAAAAGGGTTTTTGTTGACTAGATGATGGTAAATTGATATTCCTGAATTATTTATCCTTTTTTTAAAGACCAGTCCAATGGTTTTGTAAATGTTGGCCCATAATCTAATTAATGCAAATATGTAGCTTTGGATATATTACCTACTTTATTTCCTGCAGTAATTGCTTCCTATTTCTTCCATGGCATTTTGAAGATTGCAGAGACTCACTGATTTGACAAAACATAATCCTGTTGTGTTGCTGTGGAACATTTTATAGTTATAAGAGTGGTGTATTTGAGGACACAGACAGGATACACATCTGATAATTAAAGTGAAATCCAGGTATGAAAATGCAGACATGGACACTGTGAAAAAGTCTAATGAATTTGGATTGTTCCTTTTAAGATATTCAGCTACCAAGTCTCAACTCTCCTGCCGTTATGAGCATCTTTTTATGCAGGTAGATTACGTTGTCCTTGCTTACAACTGCTTTACCAATGTGACCAAGCAATACAATTAACAATTCAATGTGATGGATAACATGGTCCTAAATACAATTACATTTAGAAAAGCTGAGTTTCTAAACATATTGTAAATAATCTAAACCACTGGAGAAATAGAGGGGAAGCTCGTCTAAAATGTGCGTTGATCTGGTGGTACCTGTCTTTCTCAGTATCCGTGTGCTGTTCAATCACTATGTTGTAAACATGTAGTTGTATGGGTCCATAATATGACATGGGAATTGCTGGGAAGTTTCCTGGAAATAACTGTGTAACGTGTTTACTAATAATAGGGGAAATATACATTTCCTTGAACAGACTACTCTATTTAAATAAGTAAATATTTACTCATTTATCATTAATCACACCCAGTCCAATGCTTCAGTGTGAAAAAGGATGCATGTAAAAGGGATGACAGATGTTTGCACATTAGCGTAATTACTGTAAATGTTCCAAACCTCGCTTGGCAAACATTTGACAGATTAGAAAGCTGCTGTGTTGAAAGGCATTTTTACATGAAGCCAAACATTGGTTATGTGCTTTTTAAAAGAGTGTTTGAACTCAACAACCCTTCATGGATGAGCTTCCTGTGACACAGTAAACAGTAAACTTCCTGTTTGTCTTTACATTATTTCCCAATTTAGTTTTTTTGTGTGTAATCAGCTTTTTCAAATAAATGATATGATGATTTCTCTCTATTTAATGGTGTCATTGTCTAATGTAAAATAGTTTTGAAGACATGAGTTATCGTTCTTGTTTAAGTTTTAAACACATAAGACAAGCTAGTGTTTGTTTTGTGGGAGGAAGAGCTGATAACAAATACTCACGACACAAACCTTTGTCATATTTATCTGCTAAACGACACACATTAAATATGCAGCTCACTGCCAGCAAACTCTCCCTATACAGAAAAACAAGCAGCCTTGACCCCTGAATGTGACATCAAAATACCCCTATTGACACCTGAAGCTAGAATGTATCTTTGCTGGAATATAATTATAATTTATTTGTCTACATTTGAATTAGTTTACTCTTTTTAAAAAGACTCATGCCCCTCTGTTCTTTCACATGTGCAAGTAAAGTAGACAAAAGGTAAGAAGAAGGCAGACTCACACGTGCCTATCTTTTCATGATGAGTTGTATCTGACAGGAGATATTATTATTACAAATATCGATGTTTGCATGATTTTTAGACATTTTAGCAGCAGTTAAATAAGTTGTGTTTCAACTGTCCATCCCCTATTGCAAAAACTGCACCATTAACAATGTGATCAAAGCTTTGAAGGTCCAGTGCCTGGTCTTATATTACAGCTTTAACACTAATTACATTGTCAGTACATGAGGTAAGGCATGATTACCCTGTGCTATGTAGCGTGTATATATCAGTGTGTATTTCTAAAAACTCCTTCTTCCTGGATTCATGGTCAAACACTTTGAGCATATTTACCTTCAGGGCGTGCAGCAGAAACAGCGTGCTGGTAAAGATTTGATTCTGCAGCAGAATTGAAAGAAAACAAACATGTCAATGTAGAGCTTAGTGAGGCTGTGCAGTGTTTTCTTACAGTTGACAGAGAAGTGAAGACAAATGTCAAGGAAGACTATTGCTGCTGTATCTGGTAGGTGAACAGTCAACACCTCCTCAAAGAAACAGCACATGATGGTACTACTACTACAGACAGGAACACTGAGAGTCAGCATAAGGACTTGTGGCGGAGTCTCACTGCAACTCCAACACGTTAAATAAGTGACATACATAGTGACTGTGTTGCATTTAACATGCAACTCTGTATACTTTGACAACAGGTCTGTGCTAGCAAACACCATGGGCACATAAACTCTCTTGAACTTGTTTGGTCTTGTAATGATATCTTTCTTGATGCCTGACTGTTCTTACTGTTCTGTCAGAGACAATTGTAAATGTTGAACTTGACTAAGCTCTATCGATATTGCATTTTATAGGAATTATGCCAATATTCTTCAAGGAAATTACATTTTATACAATTACATTTTTGATGATTGCAAATTATTTCCACTTGCTTCAATTTCAAATCACACAACTCAAATTTGTACATAGATGTTTTTGTTTTATTTGACTTGTGGTGTCTCTTATCCTTCTAGAATCTAGACAGAGTGACAGCCGAATGCATAACAGAAACAGAGCAGTCCAGCCCCTGACATATGTCTGTATTAGTATGCTAAAGCAGCTCATGTCATTCCCTTCTTCAGACAGTGTCCACACAAACATGATAACACATGACACAATACATTTTCAGACTGATTCAGTTTGATAATGGTTATATTGAAAACTGCTTTGGTAGAAAGAGTAAACTAATTGAAATTCAACAGATTTCTACTGACAGTCAGTCCAATTTGAACATTCAGACCATATCAAATCACAAATATATTGCCTTCTCCGGTTCTGAAACACATTTAACTGTCAGGAGCTCTACATGATCCGTGTTTTTACGAGTATACGTAAAAAAATTGCCAGTGGTTTACAGTTTGTAGCTGTATTTGTGTGTGCAGCTGACACAGTAACAGGGGGTTACGTATTGTAACCCTAGTTATATAAGCACAGGCGGAGCCCTCTACTGGACTCTATGGGTACTACTCTCTATCATGCTATGCGTGCTTTCACCTACTGAGTTTTACGTAAACGTAGCCGGCCAATCGGGGCGAGCCTACCTGAATGCGCGCGCAGGCCCACAGTATATAAGGCGGCTACACCCGCAGCCCATTATCCTACACTCTTCAGCGAGCGGACTAGGAAAGACAGGGCCTCCAGGTAGAGGGCTCCGCCTGTGCTTATATAACTAGGGTTACAATACATAACCCCCTGTTATATTTCACACAGGCTCCGCCCTCTACTGGACTCTATGGGTACAGTGGGCGGAGCCCCAATGCATACACGCCCTGTCATCCACCAACATCGGCCCACCACACCGTCCCTGACCGGCTTTTGGCTAACATCCATTGCATCCCCACTTCCTCCCATCCGGTTGTAACCGGAGCCTGGCGTAGACCAAGACGCCGCCGTGCATATGTCTTCTACACTCACGCCGCTGAATTGACACAGCCACAGCCCGTGTAGAATGTGCACGGACCCCAGTGGGGAGGGCTCTCCCCGCCTGTCCATAGGCATGTGTAATACACTCGCAGAGCCATCCTGCTAGGCATTTCTTGGAGAGAGCTTTTCCAGCCACCCCATCCCCAAAGCACACAAACAGTTGTTCAGTGCGTCTAATGGAAGCCATGCGCTCTACATAGCATGCTAGCGCCCGCACTGGGCAGAGGAGGTGCAGCTTAGCCTCCCTGGTCCCAACATGGGGTGGAGGATTAAAGCCACCTAACTGAATAGCCCTTGATCTGAATGAACTCCTCATACTCTTAGGAGTAAAGGAGGGGGTCAGCCTGAGTGTCGCCCCGCTACGGTCACCCCGGATCAACAGACAGCTTGGGTGCACCGACAGAGCGGTCAACTCAGACACTCTTTTGGCCGAAGTCAAGGCAAGCAGCAATGCTGTCTTCCATGAGAGTGCTTTCAGGGAGGAAAGCTCCAGTGGCTCAAATGGTTCTGTGACCAGAGCCTCGAGCACCAACGACAGGTCCCACTGTGGGGCGGAGGCATGCACTACTGGGCGCTGCCTCCTGACCCCCTGCAAAAACCGCGTCATAAGCGGCTGACTGAAGGCTGACCTGCCTCCAAATCCCTCATGGCAGGACGAAATGGCTGCTGCATACACCTTAATTGTGGAATGAGCCAGCCCCCTGTCCACCAGTATCTGTAAGTAGGTAAGAATAGAGCCCAGCGTGCACGACAGAGGCTCTAGACTCCTTCCTTCACACCATCGCCGGAATCCCGCCCACTTTGGCCTGTAACAGGCTGTGGTGGATTCTGCTCTTGCTGCTTGGATAGTCTGAATAACATTGTCAGACAGCCCCACCTGTCTCAGCCTGTCCCTCTCAGGAGCCAAGCCTGGAGAGGTTGGCCCAGAGTGGGTAACGCCCCTATTGCACCTGCTTCCTGAGACAGCGCTCCCCAGACCTGAGGAATCACCCAGGGCTGGCCCACCATCATCTGTGTTACCCCCACGTACCACGGTGCCAGGCGGCGATCTGGGGCCACCAGGATGATTGACAGCTGTTCCCGCCTCACCCTCTCCAGGAGGGGGGGGGGATAAGGCGCAGCGGTGGAAAGGCGTAAAGCAGCTTTCTTGGCCATGGCTCGTGTGCAAATGCGTCGACCCCCAAGGGTGGGTTGTCCCACCGAGCCAGGGAGAACCACAGGGCACAGTGGCTGTTGCGCCGATTGGCGAACAGGTCCACCTCTGCTCTCCCGAACTGAGTCCAGACCTGCTTCACCACCTCCGGGTGAAGCCTCCACTCGTCTGGCAGGGGTCCGCCTCTTGACATGAGGTCGGCCCCCCCCGTTCTCCCGCCCCGGGATATGCAGGGCCCTTGGAGACAACACAATCTGTGACACCCACAGTCACAGGTTCTCTGCTGCGGTCAACAAGGCTATTGAACGGACTCCGCCCTGCCTGTTGATGTACGCCACTGTGGTGCGGTTGTCGCTCCTCACTAGCACATGTTTGCCCTGTATTAAGGGTTTGAAGTGCTGTAGGACCAACATCACTGCTTGCAGCTCCAGGAGGTTGCTGTGCCGCGCCTCTGCCAGAGGCCAGCAACCACCCACAGCTCTCTCTATGCACGTCCCCCCCCCATCCTGTCACCGAAGCGTCTGTGAAGACTGTGATGTAGGAGGTCACTTGCCCCAGTGGAGCTCCCCTCCGCAGATTCTCTGGGGATCCCCAGAATCGGAGGTTGCTCTCTACTGAGGGGGGGATGGTCACCAGACGCCGTTTGTGTCTTTTGAGATCTAAACGAAGGCCGATAAACCACCTCTGCATGCGACGTGCATGCAGGAGTCCGAGTGGCACTACGGTGTGAGCAGCTGTCATGAAACCCAAGGTCTGCATGATGGTCAAAGCTGTCACTGTTGCCCCCTGACGCAGCCTGCAGACCGCCCGTAACAGGGACGCCTACCTGCTTTCTGTCAGGGTGGCCCGTAGTCTGCCTGTATCGAGCACCATCCCCAGATATTCTACCTGCTGTTGAGGTATGGGGGAGCTCTTCTTCCAATTGATCGCAAAACCTAACTTGGTTAGATGAAGGATCAACTGGGCTGTGTGAAACATTGCCCATTCCCTGGACCTGGCCATGACTATGAGGTCGTCCAGATAAAAGAACACCCTCATGCCATGGTCGCGCAGCGGCTGCAGCGCCGTGGCCACACATTTGCTGAACGTGCGTGGGGATAGGGAGTAGCCGAACGGCAGCCTGTTGTACTCGTAGGCTACTCCCTGGAAGGCAAACCGCAAATACTTCCTGTGTTTCGGGGCAATTTCGACATGAAAGTAAGCGTCCTTCAGGTCGATGGTTGTAAACCAATCGCCCGGCCGCACCAGCTCCAACACCTGTTTCATAGTCAGCATGTGGAATTTTCTGCACGTAATGTGCCGGTTCAGGCCTCGAAGATCCAAAATGGACCTGAATTCTCCTGTTTTCTTGGGAACCAGAAAATACAGGGAATAATGCCCCTTCTCTCTGTCTTGAGGGTGCACCACAGACACCGCCTGTTTCTGCACCAGGGCCTGAACCTCTGCTGAGAGGAAACCTATCTCCTCCTGGGATGACAGATTTGCCTCTCTTATGCCTCTGAATGGAGGAGGGATGCTGTGGAACTGGAGTGAATAACCCAGCCTCAGTGTCCTGTCCATCCACTCTGTTAACACACAACTGTTTTTCCATTCCCCATAACATTGTGTTAGGGAATGTGCCATCAGCTGTGGAGCTGTAGCTATAAAGCTGTGATACTCCCTGGTGGCCCACTCCGCCGTCAAACCCTCCATAAAAGGAAGTTTGACCCATGGGGGGCTGACACAGAAAGGGCCGTTTTTCAATAATGCATTTTTCACCCAGAGAAAAAAATGGCCGATTTTACACTGAGGTCCCTGAACGCCCCACAGCCCGCTCTCGCGAGAGCGCACGCTCCGCCGTAATGTTGTTTTCTCTCAAGGAGAAAAAAGCATTAACCGGAGTTTTTACACTCGGCGTGATGTGCTTTCTAACAACCTCACGCCGCCCATAATGCCCTTGTACCCGCATAGCATTCTGATGCTTCCTGCGGTTTATCACATGCGCGCACCCGCTGGTTGCTTCCTGTACTGGAATCACAACTGGGGTGGCGAAGGGGGAATCTGTACAGGCATTACCATGAAGTGTGGGATTGTGGAAAGGAATGACTCACAACGGAATAATTGCAATCATTTTTATTTATGCACACAGTGGGATCATAAATATTGGAGGCAGGATTCATCCTCGCGTCCCGGGTGGAGAGAGCCCTCTATTACATTACATTACATTTAGCTGACGCTTTTATCCAAAGCGACTTACAATAAGTACATTCGACCAGGAAGATACAACCTTGAA